CGGTATCTTATAGAAGGGGTTAGGGGAGTGGCCCACAAGCCCAGCAAACTCTCCGAGGTAGGAACCGTAACTCAGTGTCCACAGGAGTTGCTAGCTGCTTTCCTTGAGCACTTACTGGACGCCTATTACCCTGAGGCCTGGAGAATCAGCGGGCCATCAATCTGGCTTTTGTTTCCCAGTCTGCCCCAGACATCAAAAAAATTTTGCAAAAATTAGAGAGGTTCCAGAGAATAAATTTAACTCAGTTGTTAAAAATTGCCCAAAAAGTCTTTAACAATAAAGACACCTTAGAGGCCAAGCAAAATAAGAGAGTTACAAAGGCAGTGATAGCAGCACTCCAGAAAAAAAACCACAGCTAGCCCCTGGACCACAAAGCGATTTGTTGATCTGGGAAATGGCACTGTCACTCATTCCCTGAGTGTCCATATCCACTCCTGTGACGGGAATTGCTCCACAAACTGCAAGCAAATATTTCTTTCAGCGAGGGTCAAGCTTGCCTCTCAATTCCTCCTCCCTTAGCCACAGGGCCACCTCAGCAGATCCTCATCACCTGTGCTCTGTCAGACAATTATCTCTTGCAGGAAGCTTTATCCTCAGAGGCAGATCAACCATCTGCACCAGACTTCCTCCGCAAATTTCAAGAGAGTGTACCGGGAGTATGGGCTGAAACAAGTCCCCCAGGGCTGGCAAGTCACCAAACCCCAGTCGCGGTCCAGCTATTAGCAACGGCAACTCCAGTCCAGGTGAAGCAATATCCTATGAGCCGGGAAGCCAGGCGAGGAATTGCTCCGCACATCACCAGACTCTTGAAGGGAGGAATCCTCACTACCTGTAAGTCTCCCTGGAACACCCCCTTGCTCCCCGTGCTAAAACCAGGCACACAGGACTATCGGCCTGTGCAGGACTTGAGGGAGGTGAATAAATGGGTAGAAACTGTTCATCCTACAGTTCCAAATCCATACACCCTCCTAAGTCTCTTGGACCCAGAACAACATTACACTGTCTTGGATCTTAAGGATGCATTCTTTTGCATCCCACTAGCCCCTGGTAGCCAGCCTATATTTGCTTTTGAATGGACCGACCCTGATACTGGAGTCTCGGGGCAACTCACTCGGAGAAAACTGCCTCAGGGGTTCAAAAACTCCCCCACTCTGTTTGATGAGGCACTTAGCCAAGACCTTGCTGCCTTCCGAGCTGAGTTCCCAGAGTGTACCCTACTCGAATAACGTGGATGACTTACCCTTGGCTACAAAAACCCAGGAGGCCTGTAAACAGACGACCCAGTCATTATTGAAAAAAACCCTGCAGACTTTGGGGTACCGGGTCTCAGCTAAAAAGGCCCAACTCTGCCAGCCAAAAGTGACTTACCTGGGCTATGTTATAGAGAAGGGCAACCGGGCACTGGCACCCAGCCGAGTCCAAGCAGTGCTGCAAATAACCAATCCCACCACAAAATGCCAAGTTCGAGAATTCCTTGGGGCAGTAGCGTACTGCAGGCTATGGAGGAAATCAGCCCTTGACACGGACAGAGGTGGAGCAACAGGCTTTTGACAAGCTCAAGATTGCCCTGACTGCAGCCCCAGCCTTGGCCTTGCCAGACATCTCTAAACCTTTCCAGTCATTTGTGCATGAAAAACAGGGAGTTGCTAAGGGGGTGCTCACCCAGACATTGGAACCCTGGTCCCGGCCAGTTGCCTACCTTTCAAAAAGACTTGATCCCTTAGCCTCTGGGTGGCCAGCTTGTTTGAGGTCGGTGGCAGCTACGGCCCTGTTAGTCACGGAGGTGAACAAACTGACCTTGGGGCAGTAGTTGAACTTAGTGGCACCCCACACGGTGGAGTTGCTACTCCGTGGAGCTATGAGAAAATGGATGTCTAATGCCCACATAGCCCAATACCAGGCCTTACTTTTGGACCAGCCCTGCATAAAATTTTCAAAAACCACAGTTTTAAACCCCGCCACACTGCTACCTGACAGCGAGCCAGAGGAACCCATATATGACTGCCAACAGACAATAGATGTCCTCCACACTGTGCGACCAGATCTCACCGACGTCCCCCTGTGGAACCCAGAGGAGGTACTGTATACAGATGGCAGCAGTTTCATGGTCGACGGAGTCAGGTACGCTGGGGCAGCTGTGGTCACTCTAGAGCGGGTTATCTGGGCCCAGGCTCTTCCACATGGAACCTCAGCCCAAAAGGCTGAACTTATAGCTTTAATAAAGGCCTTAGACTGGGCGAAGGGAAAAACTGTTAACATCTACACGGATAGCTGGTATGCTTTTGCTACGGCCCATGTGCATGGTGCCATTTGTAAAGAAAGAGGGTTGCTTACCTCAAAGGGAAAAATCATCAAAAACAAAGAGGAAATCTGAGCTCTACTAGAAGCTATAGGGAAGCCTAAGGCAGTGGCATTGATGCACTGCAGAGGACACCAGAAGGGAGATTCACCAGAGGCAAGGGGAAATAGGGCAGCTGACCTACAGGCCAGATCGGCAGCTGCGGGGCCAGTAAAACCTCTGACTCTTCTTGTGACTCTGCCGGCCCCAACCTTGCCTCCTACCCCTATGTACTCACCTGAGGAAGAAAACTTTGCTAAAGAACAGGAGGGATGACAAGATTCCACAGGATGGTGGATTCTACTGGACACAAGAATTGTGCTCCCCGAGGCTCTAGGATGGGCTCTAGTTAAGCACACACACCAGGCCACTCACTTAGGGCAAACAAAATTAACTGAGCTGCTGAGGGTTAGATACTACATTCTACACTTATATAAGATTGTTAGAAAAAACTACTACTCGTTGTGAAGTATGTGTCAGGGTAAATCCAGGAGACAGTAGGCCTAGTCAGGCAGGGATAAGACTCAGGGGTACTAGCCCAGGGGAACACTGGGAGGTAGATTTTACTGAAATAAAGCCCCCAGCGTGCGGCTATAAGTACCTCCTTGTGTTTGTAGACACTTTCTCTGGATGGTCGAGGCTTTTCCTACTAGGTCAGAAACCGCACTGGTAGTAGCGAAAAAATTGTTACAGGACCTGGTTCCTCGGTTCGGCTTGCCCCTGACACTGGGATCAGATAATGGCCCTGCATTTACAGCTCAATTTCACAAGGCCTGGCAAAGGCCCTGGGCATATCCTGGAAACTGCACTGTGCCTATCGTCCCCAGAGTTCAGGGCAGGTTGAAAGGGTGAACCGGACCATAAAGGAAACTTTGACAAAATTCATTCTGGAGACTGGTGAAAACTGGGTCAGCCTGCTTCCTTTTGTTCTCCTCCGTACCCCATGTACTCCCTATAAAAAGCTTTACTCCTTTTGAAATTATGTTTGGAAGTCCCCCTCCCTTACTCCCCAGACTTGCGAATGCCATACATGCTGGAGTCCATAACTATACACTCCTTAAGTCCTTGCAGGCACTCCAGTCTGTTCAGTCCCAGGTCCACTCGCTCATCAGGGGAACTCGACCTACCCCAGTGGATTTCACCCCTTCCAGCCAGGGGACGAAGTCCTGGTGAAGAGAGTCACTACCTCTGGCCTAACTCCTGGCTGGAAAGGACCCTACACTGTAATCCTGGTCACCCCCACGGCAATCAAGGTGGACGGACTGACTGCCTGGATTCACCACTCACACATCAAGACTGACCGCCCAGATGCAGGATGGGAAGCGGTTCCATCCTCAACGGACACCCTAAAGCTAAGACTATTGCGCCGTTCTCAGTCATTATCCTAATCTCCCTGATTCCTGCAACCACCCTCCGAAAGGGACCCTCCTTCGCGCCCACCTACTATCGATGAGTCATCACCGAGGGCTCCACTGGAGCATATGTTAGTTCCTTAACCGGAAAGGGATCCACCCTAGTCAACCTAACCCTGGAGTACACTCCGGAGACCCCCATTACCTTCTCCCTGGACCTCTGTGCCCTCCTGGGCCCCCACTTAAATTTCAGGACAAGTGGAGGTATAGCTGGGTGTGGCAGTTTAGGGGCAGAGCGACAACTCCAGACCATGGGGCTATATCTGTGCCCAGGATCCACCCCACCAAAAAGATGAAACTGTGGAGACTTAAATGAATTCTTTTGCCCCTATTGGGGTTGTGAAACTATCTCCACTATAACAGGATATACTGCAAACAGAAACTCTTTCATTTTTCTCACCCGAGACCCTCCCGTAAACGCCTGGCTAACATTCCTACTCACTGGATTAGCAAGACCCTTGGTGCTAATGGTCCTAGGGTTAATATTTGGACCATGCCTTTTAAACATGCTCCTCAAATTTATCCAGGAAGAAATAGATTCAGTCAAATTGATGGTTCTGAGATCCAAATATGGGCCCTTGTGTCAAAAACAGGAAACCTATTAAAGATTTAATACATGTTAAAAGAACAGGGGGGAATGTGATATTGTGCTGGCCTAGAGCCAGAACCTGAGCAAAACTGTTTTATAAATAAGTTGAAATGGCTGCCCCATTCTCCTCACAATAACTACTGTCCTTGGCCTCTGTAAATAGAACTGCTAGTTTGTTCTGCAAAACTATGTAAAGCTGCTTACCTTTTCTTATCAGTAACTGCTAAAATCTGTGACTTCTATCACCACCCAGACGATGTGTAAACAAATGTATATCTTGACTTCTGTAAACCACTGAAGTAACAAACAGAATGACAAAAGTCCCCTGGCCCTTGGAATGTCTGGAGACCCCCGCCCTTGTCTCCACCCAGGAGGTGAATCACAGAATCCCCTAGCCCTTGGAATGTCTGAAACCTTTTCATCCCCATCCCCGCCCCTCACCCCCACTCCCAAGGTGGTTTTTCGGGTATAAAAATCATGGCACCCTCCTTTTGGCACCACAGGTTGGAGAGACGTGAGTCCTCTGTGGTCGCCGGCATAATAAATGACCCTGCAATCTGGCATACTTTTGTCTTGGTGATAACTTTCTACACTCGGTCCAATACAACAAAACCATGTGAGGCAGAAACTTAAAACCAAAAGGAGGAATAGATGAATTCACCTTATAGTTGTAGACTTCAAAACTCCTCTTTCAGAAACAGATCCACCAGGCAGAAAAAAAGCAGAATTCAGTTGAACACAGCAGCACAATCAATTAACTTGATATAAATGACATCTACAGAAGACTTTATCCAACAATGGGCAGAATGCGGAGTCTTCTCAAGCCCACATAAATCACTCATTAAGGTAAACTACATTCTCCTCCATAAAACACACCTAAACAAATTTAAAAGAATGGGAATCCTTCAACACATACACTCAAACCACAAAAGAATTAAGGTACAACTCAATAAAAGAAAACTAAATGGTAAATTGCAAACTGCATAGCAAAATAATATACTTCTAAATAACACATGGGGCAAGGAAGAAATTTCAGGAAAAATTCTAAAAACATTTTGAGCTAAATTTGAAGGAAAACACAACCTATCAAATGCAACATGGAATGCAATGTGAAAGGTTAGAGAGAAATGGATAACCTTAGTGTAATATGAGAAAAGAGGAATCTAAAAATCAATCATATAAATTTCCACCTTAGAAACCTTAAAAGAAAAAAGTAGAGAAAGTTAAATCCAAAGCAAACAGAAGAAAATATATATTTTAAAGACTACAGGAAAAAGAAAAGTAAAAGATAAAGCAATTGCATTTTTTAATTGGATATTGGATAGACTAAAAGTTTCTAGAACTTAGAAGTATCCAGTATTAACTAGGAAAACACAACACCCCAAACTTAATCCTTGCTTATGGGCATAGAGGGAGGACTCTGAAGATATGAATCTTTAGGCATGATTTACCAAAGGTATATAAACCAGGGTAATTTCATTTGGTTACAAAGTGGCACATTTTAAAACTATGAATAATTCACCAATAAGAAATTTAGGTAAATATAGCTAGGTATACAAGGCATAGAGTACAAGAATAAAGACAAAAATACAAACTATGCTCTGAGAAACATGAGAAAATCATGAGGCTTGTAGGAGAATATCAAAGAACACGGAAGAAGTCATGCAGACACAGATCAGTGAACATGTGTTTGTCCTTGGGGAAAAGTCCCCAAAAGGCCCACCCACTGCCATCCTCCTCTACCTCTGCATGTCTCCAGTTTTCACTGTCTTTGGACCTCTCAATGGGTCCCTTGTCTATGCAGCCACAGGTCCCCATATTCTACAGCTTCCTGTTGGAATGTTTTCACCATAATATATTGATACCAGGTGGTCTTGTGTTATATACCTCCTTCCTTCTTTTCCTTCTTTCCTTCCTTCCTTCCCTTCCTTCCCTTCCTCCCTTCCTTTTTCTTTTCCTTTTTTTTCTTGACAGAGTCTCACTCCATTGCCCAGGCTGGAATGCAGTGGTATGGTCTCAGTTCATTGCAACCTCTGCCTCCTGGGCTCAAGTAATTCTCCTGCTTCAGCCTCCCAAGTGGCCGGGATTACAGGTGTGCACCACCATGCCCAGTTAATTTTTGTACGTTTAGTAGACATGGCGTTTCATCATGTTGGCAAAGCTACTCTTGAACTCCTAACCTCAAATGATCCGCCTGCCTCAGCCTCCAAAAGTGCTGGGATAATAGGCGTCAGCCACTGTGCCTGGCTTGGCCACTGAATTTTCTTATCCATAGATAGTATCTATACCTGGAAAATGACTGAGGAGACAAAAACCATGTTTACAAAGTCTACAGAAGCACACAGTAATGTCCTAGGCCTTCATCTTAACTAACCAACACTCACTGACTCACCCAGAGCAACTTCCAGTCCTGTCAGCTGCATTTACGATAAATGCCCCATACAGGCGTACCATTTTTTTTTTTTTATCTCTAATACTGTATCCTTACCTTTTCCATGTTTAGATATGTTTACAGACACACATACTTACCATTGTATTACAATTGGCTAGAATATTCAGTACAGTAACACAGAGCAAATGTTTATAGCCTAGGAGCAATAGGAATACAGCCTAGGTGTGTAAGAGAATATACCACCTGGGTCTGTGTAAGTGCACTCTATGATGTTCACAATGTAAACAAAAAATTAAATTCTAAGAATACCCAACCATCTGGATGGACTTTCTCCTCAATCAGAGCTCTTTCAAAATTTAACCTGAAAGACTAGTTCAGGCCATTACAGGAAGTAGGAGTTGGACATGCCTCATTATACCTCCCCAGTATTAACATTAATACCAACTTTAAGTCTGTTAAGAAACATTTTAAAACCTAGGCAGGTGCAGTGGTTCATGCCTGTAATCCCAGCACTTTGGGAAGCCCAGTGGGGCGAATCGCGAGGAGTTCAAGATCAGCCTGGCCTACATGGTGAAACCCCGTCTCTACTTAAAATACAAAAATTAGCTGAGCATGGTGGTGTGCGCTGGTAATCTCAGCTACTGGGGTGGTTGAGGCAGGAGAATCACTTGAACCGGGAGGTGGAGGTTGCAGTGAGGTGAGATCGCACTGCTACACCCCAACCGGGGGACAGAGCAAGACTGTGTCTCAAAACAAACAAACAAACAAAACCTATTCTCTCTGAAGCCTGCTACCTGGAGGCTTCATCTGCATGATAAAACTTTGGTAACCACAATCTCTTAACTCAGGCATTTCTTTCTTTAACCCCAGGTCTTTAGATAAACTCAACCAATTCAACCAATTGTCAGTCAGAAAGTGTTTAAATTTACCTTCACCCTCCACTCCTCTTTGAATACTTGCCTTTCTGGACGAAAAATATTTTGGGCAGGATTTTTTTCAGAAATCCTGCCCAAAATATTTTTCAGATCATTAGACTGAGGATTTCATTGCTTGTGTGGCAGCTATGTATTTCTTAAATGTGTTTGATTGATATCTAATGCCTCCCTAAAATGTATAAAACCAAGCTACACCCTAATCACCTTGGGTGCATGTTCTCAGGACCTCCTGAGGGTTGTGTCATGGGTAATATTTGGCCAAGAATAAATCTCTTCATATATTTTACAGAAGTTGACTCTATTCGTTGACAATAAAATGACCAAATTGACACATGACACATTTCTTGGACCATATCCCCATTCTAATGCTTGATTATAGTTAGTTAATTGACTGAGATATAATTTTTTGTAGTTCCATATTAAATAATTGATTTGTTGATGTGCAGTGGCTGACTTCCACGGAGACTCCTACTGATACTGTGTATAGCCCAATTCTGACCTTCTCTTTAGTGTTACAAATGGAGTTCAATTATCAATCTTTCTCTCTAAGTGTCTCACACATTGTTCCTTTGTATTGCCAGCTAGAAGCAAACAGCCAGGAATACAGTAATCATTGTGTAATTGTGGAAGGTATGAATCAAAACTCTGTGGAAAAACAAATATGGTTTGGTCATGCCTTAAGAAATGTAAAAAAATGGACAGGTTATATGGAACAATGGAAATTATATGAAACAATAAAAATTATAAGAAGCAATGGAAATTATAAGGAGCAATAATTTGCAAGACACTGTACATCAATCAAGGAAGGAGAGTAATCCCCGAAAGACTTAAAACAATTACAGGAGCCCTAAGATTGTGTCAAGTTATAGCTGTAAGTTTCCTTCTGTGGTGTGGCAAGGAGTTTTGGGACTTTTTTGTGTTGAGAAGAAGAAACTGAGGGTCTTGAAGAAGAGTTTTGCTCCATTTCATCCAGCCATTATCCAAGCCCAGTGGTAGGAATGGGAGAGAGGAAACATGCCAGCACCCATGCAGAGAGGGTTGACTTGTGCTAGCAATTTTTATATATACATGGGTAATAGAACTATGGGAGAAGTCTAGGAGGAAAAGGCAAAGCCACATGAAGAAGCCATTTTAATAAACTTGGTCTTCAATCCTTTCATCTTATCCCTAACTGTAAAAAGACAGAGGACATAACACAGCCCATCTTGCAACATTAGCCCACGATGAGAGGTGACCCATTAGAGATGAAGGAACTGCTTATGAGTAGGATAAACCACCACACCAAAACCAAAATCTGCATTTTCTATAATGTGTTGTTATACGTGACTGATATACTGATTACATTTTGACAGTCTATGACTTGGGATGTTTCACTTAAGATTTTTCAACTTTATGATAGTGGGAAAGTGACATGAATTCAGCAGAAAGTATACTTCAAGTACCCATGAAACCATTGTGTTTTTCACTTTCAGTACAGTAGTCAATAAATTGCATAAGCTATTCCACATTTTATTATAAAGTAGGCTTTGTGTTAGATAACTTTGCCCAACTGTAGGCTAATGTACATGTTCTGACTATATTAAAGGTGGGTTAGATTAAATTACTATGTTTAGTAAGTTACATGTTTTACATATATTTTCCAATGAAACTATTTTCAACTTACGATGGGTTTATTAGAAAGTAAACCCATCATAAATTGAGGAGGATCTGTAATTTAAATGGAGGTTTTTATTGAAAAGACCATTACATATTTCTCTTCAAAGGAAGGAGAACCAATAATTTTTAGGTCCTTTATTTGTGTCCCTGAAAATCTTCATAAATTCTACAAAAAGAGTGAAAATGGGTGAATCAAAACACAGGTTCTATTCTGTCTTATAAAACAGAACATCATAAATAGTTTTTATAGAAAGCGTTTTTTCTAGATTTTAGAGCTGGATATACTTTTAAAAATATATGCTTCAATGGACTCAGTAATGTCATTTCATAGATTATTCAGAGTGTTTAGAACCTGGTGAATCAAAACACAGGTTCTGTTCTGTGATATAAAACTGCACATCACAAAGTGTTTTCACAGACAGTATGTTTCTAGTTTTTTATAGCTGGGTATTAGTTTCTTTTAAATTTGGGAATAACCTTGCTCCCCTGTCTTTTACCACATAAATACCTCACCTATATAGTTTGCATGGAGAACTGGATGGCTCTCAATATTTAGGAAAATTAAGATTAACGGTACCAAATCATAATACAATAAAATAATGAAGATGAGGGAGATTGGGGAACTGTTTTGTTTTTTTTTTTTAAACAAGATCTTCCCTTGAAATTCTTTGTATAGAGTACTGAAGACCACAACCCCTGACGACAGCATTACCTGGCAAACAAATATGCCATCTATTATTTGGAATAAAAATATCCATAAATTATCAATGCTCTTGGTCTCTTGGATTCTCATAGATCATAAATTTTTTGGAAATCCTGCCAAAAATATTTTTTAGATCATTAGACGGAGGATTTCATTGCTTGTATAGCAGCCATGACAGAATGTGTGCTTC